TGTGGCCATTGCCAACCGCCAACGTGCTTTCTCCCCAGCAGCTCATGGTGCCTCAAGGACAATGCTGGAGCAGAGTCATCTTGGTTTTGTGCCAGCACGACACCTCAGGAGATCACTAAAAAGGTGGAAGAAAAGATAAAGATAAAAGTTGGCTGTTAAAAGGGAACATAGGTACTGGTGGCTTTTTCCTGCACAGGTTCTGTTCTCTGGAGTAGCCAGCGCTTGGCAACCTGGCAAAGCTTATCTCCCCGTGACGCCTCAGTCCATTTTCTGTGAGGAAATAGCTAATCTCAATGTGCTTCTAATTGCTTAGTTTCAAAGAAAAATGTTACTCCTGTGTATGGCTGAAGATTTAGCACTTCATATAGAGTTCTTAGAAGATCAGGGAGTTTTAAATTTGATGAGAGATGGGACAAAAAGGAAAAAAAACCCAAACAACTCCCCCATGCTTCAGTCTGCCAGAGGGGAAAAGGTCTCCTTCAGCTGACAGTGTCTGGGACGGTGTTGAGCAGTCCCTGCCCCGTGCCCAGGCTGCTGCAGCCAAGCAGCCTCCCTCGACTGCCCATGGGGCCGTGGGAGCAGCCGTGTCCCTGCGAGGCCACGGGCTCAGTGTCCCCCACATGCCACAGGCAGCCACACGACCTCCCAACCTTTCCTCCCGAAGCTGAGAGGCTGCTCTTGGTGCCCAGACTGGGGAAAACCCTTGAGTTTCTCTTGGCTCCTTGCTCTGGCTGCCCACCCAAGAGGACAGGGGGATGTCTCTGCCTTCTGGGGCCTGGGGGTGAGTAAGAAAACCATCCTCACCCCAATCCCTTTTGCCACAGGCAACAAGTTCTCACCCTGCCACGCCGGAGTGCTGCTGCTCTGCGTCTGGGCCTACGCCCTGATGTTTGCCACAGCCCCCTTGGCCGAGTGGGGCAGCTACGGCCCCGAGCCCTACGGCACAGCCTGCTGCATCACCTGGGATGCCTCGAGCAGGGAGGCCACGCTCTACATCGTCGCCCTCTTCATCTTCTGCTACCTTCTCCCCTGCCTCCTCATCCTCATCTCCTACTCGCTGATCCTCTGGACGGTGCGGGTGTCCCGGAGAGCCGTGAGGCAGCACACGTCCCCCCAGCGCAGAGCCCGCAGTGCACACAGCCTGGTTGTGAAGGTAGGGGAAGGCTTGGGGTGTCCCCTGCCCCAGGCAACTGCCCCGTGGGCAGGCAAATGTGGCAACAGCACTTCTGCCAGGATGTCTGCTGCTCCTGATGAATCTTCTAGGTGTTTGTATCAGTGTGGGTAATAACACATTTCTCCTCATTTAAAGCCATCAGGTGGAGGAGTTTTCATTTTAAATTACATTTGAAAAGAGCATAAAAGAAGCTTGCATGAGTCATTGTTCCGCATACTACAAGCTAATACTATAATTTGCCAAGGATATGTAAAAAAAAAAAAAGTGGATACCCTTTAAAAAAAACACTACACACATGAAAGAAAACAGCTTGCAAGCCTGGCCTCGAAGTAAATGCTCATGTCTGTTTAGAGGAGGGGGTTCTGTTTCCAGAGCCGCTCAGTCAGTCTGCACGCTGGCACGGAGGTTGCTGGAGGGATTTTGAGTCCTACCAAAAGGCTGTTGGAGTCTGATGCTCACCTGGTCCCAGCCAGGTCACTGAGTCCTTCATACCCATCTGCCGCAGCGGGCTGAGGCGATTCCTGAGTTTCCCAGGTGGGATGGGATGTGAGTAGCCTGAAGCAAGTGCAGGTTCATGCGCCCACGCTGGGATGTGCTGAGTTCCTGCCCTGATGTCTGACCCCCCGATGCTGCAGTGCGACAGGTCCTGAAGGCCGAGCATCTTTGCCTGGGGATGTGGCCAACTGCTCAGTGTCCTGTTGCACATGGCTGAGTTTTGGGGTGCGTGTGTCAGCATCCCACATGTGCTGCAGGAGGCTCGTGGCACTGCTGTCTCCATCTCTTCTCTTCCAGATGAGTATTGCTGTGTGCCTGGGCTTTCTGGCTGCGTGGACCCCTTACGCTGTCATTGCCCTGTGGACAGTCCTCGGCGATGCCAGCCAGATGCCGGCACTGGCCTTCGTGCTGTCGTCTGTCTTTGCCAAGTCCTCAACGCTCTACAACCCCCTGGTGTACCTGCTCTTCAAGCCCAACTTCCAGAAGTTCCTCTCCAAGGACATGGTGCTGCTCCGGGCCATCCGCACCCTCCTCTGCTGTGGCTGCCCAAGCGCTGTGCTCCAGCCCTTCCCATCCCCGGGCTTCGGTGACCACTCTGGGGCTTGCAGAAACTGTGATGACACTTTTGAGTGTTTCAGTAACTATCCCAAGTGCCACAAACTCCCCCAGGCACCTGGCAGCTCACCCCGGCGTGCTCCCCTGGCTATCCTGGCCGATGGAGCTGCATGCCAGCCAGGGGTGAAGAGGACAGTGCAGGTGATGGTGCTTGTCACACGGAAAAGGTCAGGCCTGGGTGCTGCGAGTGTGGCAGGGGAACCCCTGCCACCGAGCATCATGAAAGACCTTCTCTGAGCTCAGCCATGCCTGGCTGTGTCCTACCAGTGCACTGGAAGACAAACCCAAACACAACATTTCTCTCACCTGCATAGCCAATGGGTCCTCAGCATGTCCTGCAGTTGAAGTGACATGAAAATTTAAGACCAACCTTGCCTCCCTTTCTGGTTTGGCTCTTGCAACTCTGAGCCTAGTCTTTGCACTTGTGAAAAAAAAAAAATACCCCCAGTGCCTGAAATCTGCCCAAGGTGGAAGTCCAGGGTGCAGTTCTCCTGTGGCTTGCTCTCTGGGCCTTTGGCCTTTGTTTTTCCACCGTGGTGCTCTGATGACCAAGTAGGAACTTGGTTGTCTTAAGAAACTGCATGGCAGGGAGGATTGGGAGGCAGGAGGCCCCAGAAAAGCCATCCTACCTCCAGCACCAGCTCCTGCAGCCCCTGCTGACCATATCGTTTCCTGTCAGGGAGAGGGACTGCACTGCTCAGCTACCTCACTTGGGATTATGGAACATCCTTACATACCTCTTGAGGCTACTCTCTGCCCAGGCTGGGTTACCCCACTCCCTCAATTTGAATGCAAACCCACCACCGCCTATAGATCAAAATGGGAGCTTGTCTTTAGGGTAAAGATTTGGGGTTAAAATAATCCTGGTGCAAGTAATAGCAGTCCCAAGTTGTGCTCTCCAGGCAGGGAATGGCAGGACTGTGGCTGAGCACATCCCGGAGCCGTGGCAGGGGCAGCTCGTGCCATCGGCACTGCTGTGTTAGGGAGCAGCTGCCCGGCCGACTGTATCCCCTGGGCTTGTAGTCAGCGTTTGGAGACCAGTGTGGGCAGGTCACGCACAGGAATAGCCTGGGATGAAAGGGACCAAGAACCTGTGAAAGGGCCTGATGCAAAGCCATCAGCAGAAAAGTCCCCCCACTGTCCACTGTGGCAGTGGCAATGCTCACCTGGGGCTGAGCTCAGGGGCTCCCTGTCCCACCCCCAGCACTGAGCTGCTTGTGTTCCCAGCCTTGGGCATGACAGGCGCTGGTTTTGCTTTGCAGGGACTGAATAACACAGCCACAGTGCTGAGAGAGATGTTGGTTATGCCTCCCCAAAATTAAAAGATGCATTCAAGGTGATGCAGAGCTGGGAAACGTGCTGCCCTCCAGCACACATCCAGCCAGCCACTTGTGGGAGCACTTTACATTGTCACTGGTTAACGAACAAAACCACACCAAAACCCATCACTAGAGCTGCAGCAGTAAATCACGGATGTGCTAAATGGGAATAGGGAACTATTTTCTGCAGTGAATGCTGTGAAACAGCCGCTGCCCCTGATGCTGTCGCTGGCTGCGCCCCGCCT